GCAGGGTCTCTGGCCATGGTAAGTTAAATGGGAGTGTTCTTACGGTGGTCTCTGGGCACTGAAGAGATGGAAGGAAAGGAGTACGCTATCATCAAGGATAATTACTGATCTTAGTGTAAGATAATAGACTCCTCTTGGAATAAGCAACCATCCATCTAATCAACCAGATTGATTTAATTGTGTGAACCTGGAATTGTAGAGCCAGATTTGTAGGTTCTCTATCTGGTATATAAACAAGGGAGCCCAGTTACAGGTTTCTTTCAGCTATGCTATTACTTTAGAGAAAGGTTTAGCCATCATAGGATGTCACGTCAGTTCTCATCCAAAAATGGATAGACTTGTAGGAGGCTCGACATAGCACTTTTGACAACACCAGGACATAATCAATCTGACCTAGATGTGGAAGTCTAGTAGACATCTGATCACAGGTCACTTGTTGTGTCTGAATTGTTCCATGGCATTGCTGATGAAGCTGAGTCAGACCAATGATGACACAATTTTGGGGTCAGTATAAATCCCCGTTGTCAAAGTGTCTGACTTCAATTTACAGAAATACAATTGGCATTTTAATTAAAATTCTGGACTCAGACCTAAAATAATAAAAACTCCCTCCTACTCCAATAGTATCTTCATTTGTATCTGATCTGAGTATATTTCACCATTCCTGTTGTCTGGCCTGTCTCAAGGCATATTTGATCATCTTCCAGCATTCCTTATCTTAGCAAATGCATCTGGCTGATACTTGTAGCCATTTTTCCATTATGGACATTGAATGGAGAATAACTTTTCAGATTGGAACACTTCATTATAGAGGGAGACAATTTAGAGGAATATGATGAGGCTTTAGTGGAAATATAAAGTTTTCTTCCAAATGTCTCCGAGGGTCCAAAAAGGCAAGCATTTCCCATCTGGCTTGAGAATCAGAAAAATCCAGTCTTCTTTGCATGCCTTATATCCAGTTATAAGGATATAAACCCTTATCCATTCTTTTAATAATCAAAGCTAAGATGCACCTATTTTTGGCTAGAACAAGTAATTTTTTTCTTGCTGGACTAAAATTACAAAATGCTGCTTATCATGTAACCTAAATTACAAATCAGTTAAATAATTGAAGGTAGGAGTTTAATAAAGATGTAGGGAACATTGTGCATGTATTTTGGACAACCAGTAGCCTCAACTTGCAAATGTTTCTGATATCTTAAAGCAAATGGGCATGTTATTAATAAAAAAAAATCCTGTTGTTTTTGCTTCAACTTTAAAATAAAAATAAAATAAAATATGGATTCAGTATAGCACCTGATAAACACCTTGCTTCATCTTTTGTTAACCAAAATAATTCAGTTTTCTGCCAAACACTAGCTGCTCTGTACTCAGCAAAGAACTACTGCTGTTGCTGAGGAAGAAGTGCTCCTCCTGAGGAAGAAGTTGCTGAGGAAGGCAGCTCTGTGCAGGAGTTCTAGGCCCCTATCTGGGTGCAGCTGATTAAGCAGCTGCAGAGCCGTGCTACCACGCAGCTTAGAGGGAACTGATCCCCTTGTTGATAGATGCTGTTTATCATGTGTGCCCAGGCCTTTTGCTCACTCAAAGCTAGTGGTCATCTTGGAAGCGTCACAAAGTGTAAATGTCTGTGCTCCATAATCTACACTGGTTTACAGTTAGTTTCCACATGCAAATCCAGATTCATCTAAATATTTATCTGTGAAGTCTTAATGGTTTAAACTATGTAATCTGACAGACAATCCTCTCTCTCTGCGACATGGCCCAATAGGAGCATTTCAGTTTTCTGACTCAAGGATTGCTCAAAAGACAGACAGTGTATAAGAAATGTCAAGACTTGCTGGTGGACTCTTATACCATTAAATATAAGCTTGGCAGAATTTGATTTTTTTTTAAATAATTTTATGGATAATATTGATGTTGAAGCATTTTTTTTCATATTTGTCAGTTGAAGTAATCACAGTTGCAGGAAATTATGGAGGAGCGAGATAATCGAAGGGAGATCAAACAATAATTAATCACCATATTCATTTAGAGTCATAAAGTTAAAGCCTTGCAACTGCTAAAACCCATATTGCCAATATCATGTCAAAATACACAAAGTAAATACCTTTAAATCAAGTTTAATTTCTTAAGCAACATTTTTTTATTTTGATTATCTATAAATTTTAGTTACCAGTGGAAATAGTCTGTGCGTGTATGATGAAATCAGTATTTACTGTCATTTATCAATAAAAATCGAATCCTTTGGAGCTCAATTATATATAAGCACAATGTTGGCCACTTTTAGAGAGAATTTTTTCAGGCTTTCCACTAACTCCAGGCCCTAAAATTTGCTGGAATTTGTTCTAATTGTTGTTTGGTCTATATGTTCCTCTTAATCTGGTTGTTACAGGGTGATTGAGTATATGCACATTTTTACTTTAGCAGAAAACTAATAATCTCAGCATTCTAGTCTTCATTAACAATGACTTTGCCTAACCTCCATCTGTCTGGTCTGCTCTGCCTTAATATTCCTCTTATTTTCCTTGGTGTCTCTGCCCAACCTTTCCCTCATCTTGTTAATGCATTTTCCCCATTCTTTTTATCCATTTACCTATGCTATCCATTCCCTATGAAATATTGCCTTCACCTAGTCACATCCTTCCTCACTCCTGTCACCTGATTTTACAAAAAAGTTTTGTAAAATCAGGTGAGTTTAAAAAAAAATAACGTAAGTTGAAAAATATTAAAAAGCAACATATTCCTATCATGGTCATTTAAAATATCAAATATGACACATGTAAATAATGACATTAAATTTGAAAATCTTATGGAGGGGCTCCCTTTAAGAATGGAATATTCTTAGGCACTGAAAAATGATAAATAATAATGTATGCTACCTGTCTGGGAAGGTGGTGTTTGATTCCATTCTAGCTTATGTAAAAATATTTCTGAAGTGGCCCCTGGCAAAAAATTGCCTACCCCATTCTAGCTTATGTAAAATGGGCCCAGATGCCCACAAATAAGAAATATTTATAAGAAATGTTTTCCCTGTGTGCCTCAACGAGAATTCCTGAAATGCAAATGTTCTTTGTTCAAAGCTTAAAAATCATGCCACAACTCGGTTCAAGAAGTTGAAATATGTTTCCTGTGACATATTTTTGTCATTTCATATTTGACTGAAATGATTTCTCAAACTTATTTGATATGGCATTTTCTCTCTAGACTTTTTCAAAATGTACAGGAAAATTAGCCATAAAAATGTGGCTTCTAATTTGCACCAACCTGTAATAAGAGAACTTTAAAAAAGTATTTAGAATCATTTTATTTATAGAATTTTTCTTCATGACTTATAATATCCCTATCTGTTCTACAAATAAAATATTACAATTTGTCCGAGCTACTTGAAATCCTCATTCTGCTTATATAAGTTGTAACATTTTGTGTGTGAATAAGTTTCATTCAATAGATTTCTGCATGCATGTAGATGGGCAGACAAGAAGAATCTTTATTTAATAAGATATGTTATGAACATATTAAAGCCCCAGTATTAACAAGTAAATGTGTATAAGCAAATTCTTATTAGCTTCAGTGGGACTGAAGTTCCCAGGATTTCTTCTGCATGCCACAAGTTGCGATATTTGTTGTTAAAAATAAATGTATAAAGCACATCATAAAAATGAATACTGTGGTTTATATAGGACCTTCCCAAGTATAGATGATTTTTTGATAAATTCATATTTTACTGTTATATAGCTGAGCTATGGAAAAATGTTTGGCATACAAAACTTTTAAAAGGAAGCAGATATCTTTTTTAATATATTTTTGCAGCAACATATATAAAGAAGAGAGATTTCTGGCCATGCTAGAATTTTCTTTTTAACATGGACTGTCATGGGTGGGGTGTCAATAAAAATTCAAACAAATCGTTTGAGTCGTTTCTTTGTAAAGGCCGTCCTGGTGATCCATATGTACTATATGCTCTACTATTGGTTGTATAATAAAATGTATACATGTATTCTCAACCTTCTTCTGACTTCTGAAAATCTCAAATGTGTGACTTCTATTAACAGAATTACACACTCTTCCTTCCCTCCTCCACATTTGGGGGGGAGCAGATAACAAATGTACTAGAATAAACTGAATTATTAACCAGAACAAAGCTGGCTGTCTTGCCATTTAAATGTGTATATGTTTTATGCAATAAAACTGTAATCCTTTGGCTTAGTTATGAAGTAAATTTCCATACAAATTTAACACATGGAAACTACATATTTTTAGAGGTGAGAAAAGGAAAACAATTTCCTGCTTGCCCTGTTTTAATGGGTGATTGCAAAATTTTCAAGTGTTGGGTTCTGGCAGTCTCGTTTTACCTCTAATATAATCAAGAACTTCAGAATTCTGAGAAATATAATAAGACTTCCAAGCTAGGACAATGCCTAAATTCTGTAACAGTTAGCTTGGGTTCTGTAGGAAATGAGATGGAATCAAGACCTAAATTAGCTGGTAAACTAGGCTATGGACACATCATAAGTAAGTCAAAATTCACTTTGCTTCTACCAAAGCTATAACTTGACCTACTAAATTCTAGTTAAATAAATGGCTGACCCTGAACCTCTGCTAGGAAAAGTGGTTGAGCTTAGATGATGGCTAGCTAGCATGTATTAAAATCTAATCTAAAGTCAATTTTTTTTCTGGTCATAACAAGATCCTCAAGAAGAGGATTGTGTGATTTGATTCCTGAAATGTTTTATAAGCAGTCATTACAGAAGCTGAATTCTACTGCATATGACCTATGTTTTGAAAAAGGTTGTCTAGTTCTTCAACAACTCTGGATGTCTACTTTTAATTTTAATGCAGTTATTAGATTCAGCAGGGCAGATGCAGTATGAAATATACACTGCTTGATAAAGTTTGAATGGTATATGATTAGATATATAATTACGGAAGTAATAGTTTTGTTTGAGTTGCCAATTAAATATTCCATTTCAGAGTATCTAATGCTGCACTTTTATTTATAGCCCATGAAAAGCAGATGAAAATCGTTTGTGAAGAATCTTCAGAACATCATCTACAGCCCTTCAAGGATAAATTAGAAGAGTTTTTTCAGAAAGGCAAGCACATATTTTTTAAACTTCTTTGTTCATATAATTAGTATTTTTACAGATTTTGCTGTATATATGTTGCCTCAAATAACCAATGCTGCACATTGGAAACTAAATAGTATCAGTTATGGGTCTTAGGTGCCAATAATTACACAGATAATTACACTGCAATAATTGCCACTGATTGGTAAAAGCTACTATAGTCTCACTAGCAATCTTTTGAGTGTTTTTTGCATCATTAAATTAATTAGGTGCAATAAAACAGGGGTTTAGGATACACTGTTACTTAATAAATTGAGTCTAAATCTTCCAGTCCATGAAAAATATGTTAATCTTGTATTCATGTTAAGTCAGAGATTCAAGATTAAAAGCTAAGTCCATGTAACTAAGATGTCTGACAGTCCTTAAGGGAAATAACCCTCTGGCATGGAATCAGTAGCGGGAGATCTTGGTAGACCCTCGTTTTGCAGCTGAGACACTTAAAGTATGGGAGTTTGTCCACACTAATAATTATACAACAGATTGTAGCTGTGCCTGTCACACCTGGGACGAGGGCAGTCATACCTAATGGTTGGAGCAGAAGTCGGGAGTTAAGCAACGTCAGATACCCAGATCTGAAAGTCCAAGTGGGCAAACTGAGAGTCAGGCATCAGGTGATGGGTAGGATCAGTTTAACAGGAGATCAAGGTCAGGCACTCGATTACAGACACTGATTGAAGAGCAAAGTCAGGGGCAAACAAGTTAGAAGTTAGAGACTAGGTTCTACTGCAAGCAGGGTCTGGAGCAGACACACATAGGCAGACTCCATTGACAACTTATCATCATTGAGCTGTCAGGGGCTGCCACTCAGGTGCTGTGAGGTGGCACTTTTTGACAAACCCACCCTTACAAGGTCCTCATGGGAGCCCATCCTAAACATCCCATAGTGAGGCAGCAGCAACAGCAGAACAGAACCCCCATAGTCCCAGGTTCTAGCTCTGCAGGTTCTTACAGCTCTGCTGTGCTTCTGTGTAGACGCTGCCTATACCAACTGGAGAGGTTTTCTTGTTAGCATATGTAATTGAACTCCCTGAGAAGTAGTAGTTAGGTCAATGGAAGAATTCTTTGGTCAACCTACCACTGTCTACACTGTGGGTTAGGTCACTATCGCTGTATCTCTCAAAGATACGGATTTTTCACATAACCAAGATGTAGCAACACCAATGTAGGTTCTTAGTGTAGGCCAAGCCTGACTCCTGGCATCAAAATCTGTCATTTTAGGTAAGCTCTACATTCAGTGGTAAAACCTTGCTGGGTCCAGCAAAGCTGCAAGGGTTGGGAAAGAGCCAAGTTATTTGAAAGGGTCTCCAATGCAAAGCATCTCCAATGTTGTGAAGAAACAAAAGGAGAAAGCGAACACAGAGAAGAATCTTTCTGATATGTGGAGAAGAGCAGCCACACTAATGTGGTAGCCCAAGGGGATGAGGCAAATCCTCTGTTCTTGGCCAGGGCATTGAGGGAAGGCAGAGCAAAGAGTGCAGCTCCCTGAGCTTGTAGCTGGTAGGGAATTTGGAGATGGCCTGGAGAACCAGTTCTGGAAGGCCAGCTGTCCATAAAAGGTGAGAGGAAGCCATCAAAGAGCTCCGCTGTCTGCAGGCCCAGATAAAAGAGTGTATGCAGGAGCAAGATGAGATGTGCTGCTTGAAGGAAAAGCAGGAGTTAATGTGGCTAATAGCAGAGATGGAGAGCAGCATCTGCTGCTGGAGGAAGAGGTTAAATGAGCTTCCCATTGGAGACTCTTCTGGCAGAATAGCACCAAGACCAATTAAGATTTGAAATCCATCCCAGTGAAGTTGTCATCACCAGAGGAGAGAGGCAAAACTGGCTGTACATCTCAGAACACAATCCAGAAAATAGTGCAAGTGGAAGAGAAAAACAAATGCTTGACCTTTTAAGTGCTGCAGACAAAGATCCACGTATCTTGATGCATAGGTGCTGGAGCTAGAAGTGCTGCTGTGCCCCTCAGCTCAAAGTGGTTTCCATTATATAGAGAGTTTATAGTTTGGTTCAATGGCCCTCAGCATCCCCTCTATAAAAATTGTTCCAGCAACCCTTCCTTGATGTTTATAAGAATCTTAAAAGGAGCTAATTCTTTGTATAGTTTTCTCTATGGGGAATAAGATAATTTTATGCCTATCTATGGAGAGTACTCAAAGACAGCCATTTTCTAGTTACACCCAGGTAACGGCCAGTTTTGGCTACCTTATCAGTAGGTGTAGGAGGATTGGACATTTCTAAAGTTTCACTCTCATAAACCTCCATTTGCTAATGAACAGTAATGAATATATATATTATATTGGTTATACAGACTGAGTTGAACACTTTGGCCATACCACTTCATTCTTCAATGAGAAGAATACAAGGAGCACAAATTTCTTGTTTATCGTCATTGTTGAGATTAAAAAAGGAGGATCCTCCTGGTTCGGTGGGGTGTATAAGGCTCTAACAACTGATGGATACAGTCCTGGAGAGAGAAAAGGGAGATAAGATAATCTGCAACAGGATGTTAAGGTCAGGTCTTATCATGCTACTCTAGGAAAGAGAGTTGGGCAGGAGGGAGCATGCTGAGGCAGCCACACAAAATCCAGATGATATTATTACATGTGATATATTTGCAGAAAGTGCACTGTATAAGAAATTAAACAAAAACATTTGCTCAGTAGACAGTAATAGCTAATCCTCATGAAAGAGGGTATTCCCTGCAGAAAATTAAAAGCTGATTTATTCCTATGCAGTGTAACTGATTAAAACACAAACTTTTGGAGTGGTGAATCTAGAATACCAGGAAATGTATTTGTAATAGTTCCACAGCATAAAAAAATCTTGTTATTACAAGAAGCTTCATTTGAGGGGAGTTTCCATGATTATTCTCTTGAAGTTGTAAAAAGCTCTACTTTTTACTACATATTTGTGTATCATGCATCACACAGTTAGGAACCCATAATCTGGTATTGTCACAGCATGTCACAGCAGTTATATGAGACACTCCTCAAAGTAATCAGAACCAGTTGGTGACTATACAAGGAAGTTAGTATTCCCAAATGAGCAATATCACTCACAAAGTCTGAAGCAATTTAACATTTAATATCTGAGAAGTCACATAAACTATGACTCACTTGATTCCTGAGAGGACTCATATTTACCTAAACTGTGATGATTGAAACAGGCATGAGGTTGCTAACACAGAGGGGTAGCTGTGTTAGTCTATATCTGCAAAAACAGCTAGGAATCTTGTAAAACCTTAAGGGCATGTCTACACTAGAAAACAATTTTGAAATAACTAAAATTGATTTAATAACTCTAGAAATAACAAACTTGAAATAGTGTGTCTATACTATAGGGAAGCCTCAAAATTGGTCTGAGTCAGGCTCCATTATCATGGATATGCTACCTTGACTTAGAGCCCCGGGAAGCACTGGAGAATAATTACTTCTAATTACTCTGGGGAGTAGTTATTTTGAAATAATAGCACCAGAGCAACCACACTAACTCTGTTTTGAAATAACTGTTTTGAAATTAGTGTTAGTCCCTGAGGAAATCAGGAATGCAGTTTTTTAAAATAATCAGCCCATTATTTCAAAACAACGGGTTTGGTAGTGTGGACGATCCGCTTATTATTTCAAAATAAAATGGGTGGTGGGTTATTTCAAAGTAACTCCTCAATGTTGACCAGGATGAAAAGCATCACAGATTTATTTGGGAACAAGCTTTCACGGCTAAAAAACTGATGAAGTAGTTTTTACCCTTGAAATAAGTCTGTTCCTCTAAGGGAACGTCTGCACAGCAATGCTAAAGCTACGTCAATTGTGTAGCTTATTTCAGCTTTTGGCACTGTCTACAGAGCAGGAAGTCCGAGTTAGAGCACTCTTCCTTTGATTTCTCTTACTTCTTGTAAAATGAGGGTTACAGGAGTCAGAGTAAGAAGTCCTCCAGCTCAACGTTATTTTGATATCATGTAGAAATATCTGTTTGTAGCATAGACGTGAACTATGTTATTTCAGAATAATGTCAGTTATTCCAAAATAACACTGCTGTGTAGACATTCTCTGAACTGCACCATAACTCAAAATTTCAGCTATGCAAATTGCGTATCTGATTTTGATGCTGTTTCGAAATAGTTATTTCATCAACAGCTCCAAATTTTGAAATAAAGCACTATTCTGAAATATCCCTTTCTCCTCGTAGAATGAGGTTTAAGGAAGGTAAGAATAGTGAGCCTGAAATAACAGTCTTTCTGTGACGATGCAGGATAGCTATTTCAGGATAAACATCCTCCTAACATCTGGAAATTTTTAAATAGTTTTACTTTATGAAGCTAAAATAATATAATTCCCTATGTAAAAACAGTTTTTGAACAACAGCGCTTCTTAAACTGTACTGTTAAATACATCTGATATTTCTGAGGGTAACAGGTCTCTTTCACAAAGTTATTGTGCTTTATCTAATTTGAGTTTTGAATCTTAAATTTGTGCGGCTCTTAGGCTACAAGTTTCTTATCACAGATTCTAACAAGTTCTTAATGATATTTTTCCAGAAAATGTAATGTGTATTTAAGTATCCCATAAAGTTAGCAGAGACCCTGTAAAAGTAGGAATCCACAGGTATGGCTGCTGTAGGTGGTCTTTTAATCTAATTTAACTGACAGTTTGTATTTACAGCTTTTGTAGTAAGTGCTGGGAGTGAGATAGTGTGCTGTATATGTGCACATTAACACTAACATTCTCCCACATGCTGTTTTATCTTGCCTTCCTTTAAGCCTATGCTTCACTCCGTTTGGGATTAACCAGCTTTATTTCCACAACCCACGTATACAAAAGTAAATAAACCTTAATTGCTAGCATTTCCCAATCAGCATTTAAAAATCAACTACTTCTTTTAAAGATCATTGTATTGGTGTTTTTTGTAGATTACTTGATTCTTAGAGCCATAGGAACTGCCATACTGAAGCAGCTCAAAGGCTCATATTGTCC